ATTTCCATGAAATCAAAGAGGAGCCAAGATAAACATAGAAACCGGTAATCGATCTTCGAGTATCTAAACATCCAGCCCAATCAGAATCACTAAATGCTTTAAGTTGTAAAATATTGGATGCTGAAAAGAAAATCCCAGCTCCAGGTGAGCCTTTAATGTACCTCAGTATTCTATTAGCTGCTTGTTGATGTGCTGTGGTAGGAAGTGAAACATACTGACTTAGATATTGTACAGCATAGGAAATGTCAGGTCGAGTATTGGTAAGATAAATGAGTCTGCCAATTAGCCTTCTAAAAGAGGAAGCATCAACAGTAGAGAGTGGTGAACCAGCTGTTTGGTGAAGTTTTGTAGTGTAATCTGTTGGTGTGGAGACAGGTTTAGAGCCAAGCACTCCTGAATCAATTAGTATGTCAAAGGCATATTTTCTTTGACAAAGATTGATGCTAGATGAGACCTTGCAACCTCAAACCCCAAGAAAAATCTTAAGTCTCCCAAATCTTTAATCTTGAAAGCAACATCAAGTAATTGAGTAATGTTTGTAATTTCAGCCAAGTCATTTCCTGTCAACACTATATCATCCACATATACTAGTAGTGCAGTGAAAGAATTGAAATTATGCTTTAAAAATAATGAATAATCAGTAGAACATTGTTTGTAACCATGAGAAATAAGGAAAGTGGATAGTCTAGCATACCACTGCCTGCTAGCTTGTTTTAAGCCATATAAAGATTTATGCAAGCGAAAAACCTTATTCGATTGATTTTGATACATTCCAGGAGGAAGTGTCATGTAGACCTCTTCATGGAGGTCACCATGAAGAAAAGCATTATTCACATCAAGTTGTTTCAAGTGCCATTTCTGAGTGGCAGCTAAAGCAAGAATAAGTCTTATTGTGGTGAGCTTAGCCACTAGAGAAAAGGTGTCTAGATAATCTTGACCTTCAATCTATGTATATCCCTTAGCAACCAATCTAACTTTATATCTTTCTATAGTTCCATCAGCTTTGTGTTTGATCTTATAGACCCATCTACATCCAATAGCTGTTTTAGTAGGTGGTAATTCAGTGAGAGTCCAAGTATGGTTAGATTTAAGAGCTTGTAATTCAGAATTCATGGCTTCAATCCAATGTTGATGTTTAGAGGCTTCATTGTAGGATTTGGGTTCATGAACTACAGAGACAGAGAGAACTGCCTTTCTATTTTTTTTTTTTTTTTTTTAATTTTAGTGGATGTATTATGATTGAAAAACCGTGTAAAACTAGAACTGTAATAGATTGTCATGGGACTTTGTGATAATGAGTTGTCAAGAATATTTTTATTTATGTTTAATTAAAATAGGGATTATTTAAAAGGATTAAATATCATAGTATGGGTAAATAGGTTTTGAATCAATGAAATAATCTTAATCTAACTTTATTATTTTCTATTTTTTTTTCATGTTATAACTTGTTGGGAATATAAGAAAGGTAAAATACCAAGAAATTAATCTTCATCAATGAGTCATGAAAAAACCACATAAATGAAATTAACATCAAATTTTTAGGGAGCATTTGGTAGTAGAGAAGTTTTTTCATATATAAAAATCATGATTTTTGAGAATTACAAATTCTGAGAATCATGATTCCTATAAATAATTAAAATATGTTTGGTTACTCATAAAAGTTTCTGGGAATATTCATAAATGATTCTCGGGAAATTAAAGATTTTCATGTTTGGTTACAAAAATATATGCCTGGGTTTATAAATATTTTTTACAAAAACATCCTTTATATATATACACACTTAAATCTTATTACAAATATGATATTAAACTATTTTAAAAAGTTAAAAACTTATTAAAATTATTTAAATACATAATCAATAAAAAAAGTAAAAAAGAAAAATGCTACATTATAATTAAGAAGAATAAAATATAGTATTTTGTTTCATTCAAATAAAAAAATTAAAAAGTGTTAACAAATACCATTAAAATGTAAAAATAAAATAGATTTTAATAATACTATTAACATTGATAAGATCAAGAAATAATGAGATACAAGAAAGAGAGAAAGAGAAATAGAGATATGGGAGGAAGGGAGGAGGGAGAGGCAGAAAGAGAAATAAAAGGAGAAAGAAAAAGAGAAAGAGAGAGGGAGAGGGATAGAGGAAAAGAGAAGGGGAGCAAAAGTGAGAGAGAGAGAGAGAGGAAAAGAGAAATAAAAGGGATATTATGGCCTTTTTAAATACATAAAGTTTTTTTCCTAACTTTAAAAAATTGGATTCACTCTCCCTCTAAAAATGTTTTTGTGAAAAAGTGAGATAAAAAATTGCTCTTGAAAAATTATATTCTTGGGAATTTTTTTTTAAAAATAATTATCAAACATGAAAAATTAAAAGACTCACTTTAAGATTCTTAAAAATGTAAAAATATTTTGCATACTAAACACCCTCCAACGTAGCGAGGAGATTAGTCACTGCTGTCGGCGGTGGATACTCCAGGAACGAACCTAAAAAAAAAAAAACACCTCTCTTAAGATTATTTGTTAGTTATTCTCAATAGTCTTTAATACTACTTGTCAAAAATATGAGGTACATAAAACATTGAGAGGTGGTCTTCATTAATGAAGTATGAGCAAATCTTACAAGTAAACTTAATATCACACTCAAATTCAAAACTTTTAGGGTTCATTTGGCGGAAGAAGAAAAAAGTAGAATGAATGGAAATACAAAAGGTGAAAAGAAGTGACAAATAAAATGAAAAAAAGTGTTTGATATATGACAAATAAATAAGAAATAATAAGAAAAATTCAATGAAAAAATATATATAGGCAAAAAAGTTGTGAGAATAACTAGTGTTCCACATATTTTTTATTTCTCTCCTCTTTAATTTTCCTTTTACCAAACACACTCATCTTTTTTATAGTCATATACTTTTTCTCTCTCCATCTTATTTCTCGTTCATCAAACAAAAGATCCACATTAAGTTATTTTCTTATTTTTCATACTTATATATTGTTCAACCTTTTCGTTTCTACCATATCAGAAAAAGAAAAAAAAAATTCTGTTCTACCTAATGTGAGACGTCATATTTACATTTGTATTTCAACAAACTTAAATCTTATATTATGTGCATAGGATAATAAGGATATGCCTAAACTTTTATACAAATTATCGAAGTATCTTATCACTAGATTGATCCGGTGAGTTGTAAATTTTTCTATACTCTGCATCAATTTACTTCAAGTTATACTTGCTGATAGATTGAACGATTACACGGTGAAGGATATACACACGCTACAAGAAAGCAATAATGGTCATAAATAGTTACCAAAAGTCAAAAACTTGTAAGTAAATAATTTTTTTTATATTTACTCACAGACAATTTATCTAATGTATTATATGAGTTATATAACAAGAGACTTTTTTAAGTTTTATTTAAAAAAATAAAAAAAAAAGTTGTAAGTGTAAGTATTTGAGTCTATCTTTTACTAAATATTTATAGGTAAAAATAGTGTGTTGTTTTACTTTTAAAAATAAAACATCTATAGATACATGACACTTTTCATAAAGTGATAGGAATCAAACTCATATTTGAGTGAACGAGTTTTATCTTATCAATTAATTAGTAAATCTATTTTATATGTGAACTAGCTATTAGGATTGGCCTAATGTTGAAAGATTGAAATAATATACATATAATCTTATATTTAAATATATTATTGTTGTAATTCTAATAAATAAAAATGAAAAAAATTTATATGCAATTAACCATGAGAGTAACTTACCAATTTAAAGTCTCATGAAGCAGGCGAAATCTAACGGTTTAACAGTTTTGAGGTTTACTAGTTATTATATATATTGTATCTATAAGGGGTATAAAATAGTCTTTGCAAGAGTCATGGATATACTATACATATTAGCTAGTGTTGACAATGACATCATTGGACAATGTATTGAACGTAGTGCCTCAGAATTTTCTGTATGAAATGAAACAAGGGTCTTAGGGTCGGGTGTTCATATATACTGCATTTAGACGCTGAATTGAAATTCTAGTTTTAGAATCTGCCAATACTTGCAAACTATAGGAGTCAAGAATGTGGAGTTGATATATATAACCAAGTGCAACAAATTGATCTAGAGCATAATGTTACCTTGACTTGTGAAGCAGGATTCATTAGCTGATAATGGTCCTCTTTGACTTTGTTGTAGCGCTCAATAACGGATTTCATGCTGCCAGATATGTAGAAGTCCATATTAATGGATAGAAAATGATAATGTTTCTGTAATTCCTAAGAAACACTACTTTAACCAATAGAATTTATCGTACACTACATATATAAATTTGATACGGTATATGTTCTATAAGTTATAAAGTTCTATAACAACCAAGAATATACTTTTACCAAAACAATTTCTACCTCACACCACCCCAGATATATATGTTACTTATTATTATTTTTAATTTAAATATTCACCATATATATTATGCCAAATATTGTAAGGATAGATTTTATCAAATATGGTGACAGCCATTAGAGCAACAGGATTGTATCTGAGAAAGAAAACTTAGGGAAGAAGAAGAGAGGAGAAAAATATGATATTCATTTAATGATTTTGTATATCAAAACAACTTATCGGAATCAGTTACAGAATTGCCTTTTATAAAGGCTAAAATAAAGCTAACTATAATGGTTAGTTAACCACAGTAACTAACTAGAATTAATCAACTAAGATCCCCCCTCAAGCTAGGAATGGATATCATACATTCCACGCTTGACGGCACGTGTTGACCCACGTGACCGATACGGTCTCTCCGGTATAGAAGCTAATCAAAAAATAAAATAAAATAGTAACCATGTAACCGTCTTGAGTTGATTTACCAATGTTACTTACTACTAGGATTTCTACTTGGTAGAGATATGAATGAATGAATGTGTTGGTGTTAGTGGATGTTGAGGAAGTTACCAAAATAATCCTCTTCCAATATTTCCGGTCACTGTAACAGCTAAAAGTAACTATGAAACAAAAAGAGTATACAAAATCTAAAACCTGGCTCCTACGTTTCTCAAGATACAAACAGAGAACGTAGAAGAAATGGCGGCTACGACGAACATGGAAGACCCGGAGAAAGCAAGAACGAAAGAGGAGGAGGAGGAAGAAGAAGAAGAGTCTCCAATAGAGGAAGTGAGACTAACAGTAACGAACACCGACGACCCCAGCATCCCAGTATGGACGTTCCGAATGTGGTTCCTGGGCCTCCTCTCATGCTCCCTCCTCTCCTTCCTCAACCAGTTCTTCGCCTACCGCACGGAGCCTCTCGTGATCACGCAGATCACAGTGCAGGTGGCGACGCTTCCCATCGGGCACCTCATGGCGGCGCTGCTCCCGACGACGCCGTTCCGAATCCCGGGATTTGGGTCGAAGCGCTTGTCCCTGAACCCGGGGCCGTTCAACATGAAGGAGCACGTGCTGATAACGATATTCGCCAACGCCGGATGCGCCTTCGGGTCGGGGTCGCCGTACGCGGTGGGGATCGTCAACATCGTGAAGGCCTTCTACGGGAGGAAGATATCGTTCGTGGCGGCGTGGCTTCTCATTATCACCACGCAGGTCTTGGGTTACGGCTGGGCCGGCTTGCTCAGGAACTACGTCGTGGAGCCTGCACATATGTGGTGGCCCAGTAGCCTCGTCCAGGTTTCTCTTTTCCGGTACATGCTTTCTTCTATCTGTTCTTCCGGTACATGCTTTCTTCTATCTGTTCTTTTTTACGTACAAACCTTGTTGTTGATATGCATGCATGCGTGCATGCAGAGCTTTGCATGAGAAAGACGAGAGGCGATTTTCGCGGGCAAAGTTTTTCTTCATCGCACTAGTTTGCAGTTTCACGTGGTACGTGATCCCTGGATACTTCTTCTCGACGCTCACTAACATATCATGGGTGTGCTGGGTGTTCTCCAAGTCAGTGACGGCTCAGCAGCTAGGCTCAGGCATGAATGGCTTAGGACTCGGGGCGTTCACGCTTGACTGGACTGCTGTTTCATCGTTCTTGTTCAGTCCTCTTGTCTCGCCCTTCTTTGCCATTGTCAATGTTTTCGCGGGCTACGCGTTGATAGTGTATGTTGTCATTCCTATAGCATACTGGGGCCTCAATGTGTACAGTGCTCGTACGTTTCCCATTTTCTCATCAGATTTGTTCACAGCTCAAGGCCAAGAATACAACATATCTGCTATTGTCAATGATAAGTTTGAGATAGATGTTGCCAAGTATCACCAACAGGGTCGAATTCATCTCAGTGTGTTTTTCTCTTTCACTTATGGATTTGGATTTGCCACCATAGCTTCCACCCTCACACATGTCGCTTGCTTCTATGGAAGGTAATTGATGCTCTCCTTATGAATCAATACTAACATTATTTTAGCAATGTTGTTTACTTGTTTGTGTTTGTTATATTTTTTAATAAATGACAGAAAGAAAGGATCTTCTCATGTCAGGGATGTGATAGTATTAGTTATGGAACAAACAGATGGTACTATGAGTTATATCATGCGAAAAATGAACAAAAAATTGTTATATTTTGATGTGGACTAAACATGCAGGGAGATTATGGAGCGGTATCGTGCATCAGCAAAGGGAAAAGAGGATATCCACACAAAACTGATGAAAAAATACAAAGACATACCTGCTTGGTGGTTTTATGTGTTGCTGGGCGTGACGCTTGTGATTTCTCTCGTGCTATGCATCTTTATGAATGACCAGATTCAGATGCCGTGGTGGGGACTTATCCTTGCTTCAGTCTTGGCCTATGTATTTACACTCCCAATTAGCATCATTACTGCCACCACAAACCAGGTTCAAATCTTGCAACTTTTGACCCCCTCCCCTACTAAAAGAACAAAATGTCAATTCATTTTAACCAAAAAAATATTGAATACATGTAAAATGCAATCTCCTTTCGGTCCCATTATCTGAACATAAAAAATTGGCTCCATATATGATATCATATACAATTATTTCTTTTTCTCACCTACTTTTTATTTATTTATTTATTTTTAATCTTTTTAGTATACACGCATCTCAAAAATACACCAAAAAAATCAAAGAGACTACTATCTGTTCTAAATTTGTGTTCAAAAAAATATGTTTTTTCCTTATGACATGGCATGCACAATTTGATTCTCTTTCCATGCTTATGACAAACTTAGCTTATAGATCACAACATATGAATGCATAACTTACAAGATTTCTCAAAGATTAATTGTGAATGTAAAGAACAGTTTCAACTTAGACAGAACCATTAAGTTAGTATTTTGAATGGTAGCACTTTTAGCCGGACAGTCAACTTGTGATTTTAAATATACAGTAAGTACTTTCTTCATAGGGGCAGGCCCATAAATTTCAAAGTTTTGACCTTTTAAATCTTATGCTCTGCCTACAGACACCAGGACTAAATATTATTACCGAGTATCTCTTTGGTATCATTTACCCCGGAAGACCAATAGCAAATGTATGCTTCAAAACCTATGGTTACATAAGCATGGCTCAGGCTGTCTCCTTCCTCGGTGATTTCAAGCTTGGTCACTACATGAAGATCCCTCCAAGGTCAATGTTTTTAGTTCAGGTATATTTATCATGTTTATTTCCGCTCACTTCACCCATTGAGAAATTGTCCGGAGATCTTGGACCACATAATCTCTAATTAACTTCTATATAACATGAAATTAAGTGTTAATAATTTTTGCTGGTAAGTTGAAAAACTTAAATATGTGTGAATTAGAGATTAGTTGAAATCATGAACATTTGATGATTTTGTATTACCTAATAAAAAGATAACCATATTACACAACCATATTATCTTGAACTATACTCATATTGCACTTCTTCTATAGCATCTAATTCACTTTATGTACATGTTCAACTGTGTATAGTTCATTGGTACAATGCTTGCTGGAACTATCAACATTGGTGTAGCATGGTGGTTGCTGAGCTCAATCCACAACATATGCAATGCAGATCTCCTTCCAGAAGGCAGTCCCTGGACATGTCCAGGTGACCGTGTTTTCTTTGATGCATCAGTGATTTGGGGTCTGGTGGGACCAAAGAGGATCTTCGGTTCTCATGGAAACTACCAAGCAATGAATTGGTTTTTCCTTGGAGGATTAATAGGGCCAATGCTAATTTGGATATTGCACAAGGCATTCCCGAAGCAGTCATGGATCCCCTTGATCAATCTTCCAGTCCTTGTGGGGGCAACTGGAATGATGCCACCAGCAACAGCATTGAACTACAATGCATGGATCACAGTTGGAACGATTTTCAACTTCTTTGTGTTCCGTTACAGGAAGAAGTGGTGGCAGAGGTACAACTATGTTCTGTCGGCAGCACTTGATGCAGGGGTGGCTTTTATGGCTGTTGTGATATACTTCACATTAGGCCTGGAAAACAAGAGTCTCAATTGGTGGGGGAATGATGGGGAGCATTGTCCTCTTGCAACTTGCCCTACTGCTAAGGGCATAGTGGTTGATGGTTGCCCTGTATATTGATCACTGCTTCTTTTTAATGGTTTTTTTCATTACAATTGCATTGCAACACTCATGAACTGAAATTGAAGAATGTATATACATTTTATTTTATTTTTCCAGCAACTTGTTTTTTATTTTAAAAAGTGTGATGTTAATACTTAGTATTCATATAACTTCTTTCTAGATTAAAGACAATATATATATATATATATATATATATATATATATATATATATGAACCCTTTTGCTTCTAAATCAATGCTAGCTATATATATATATATATATGTAGATTCTGTCTGTCTCTGTGTGTCTCCTAAAATTTTACTTTTAGCTCCTAAAATACACTCTTGTAAGGGATTAAAAACATTTTTTTTTGTTAAATGTAAAGATTAAAAGTGAAAAAGGGACTAAACATTAAAAAAAATTGTATTTTCAGAAATTAAAAACATTTAAATTCTAAAATAATTACTATATTAGCATTTGATGTTCAACAATGACATACAATTATGAAATGATAAAGTATGTCAAAATTTTACACTAAAATAAATAAATAAATGAAAATTAAATGATTAAACTTGTGAGATAATACCGGTGATGAAGCTAATTTACTACATTTTATTTTTATTTAAGCTTTTATAAGATGGACTGTAAGCGCATAAAAGGACTCATTAATCTGGTTAAGTGAATTTGTATCAGCCGCAACAGCAACCACGTACCAATCCAGGGGTAAAATTCATCGACCAAACAAACGGGGTTAAAATTTCACTCTCTTCCCTGTGGAAAATGCAAGGAAAAGAATAGAAGATCAAGATAGCAAGGATAGAAATAATTTAACTTATTTATTATTCAATGCTCCATAAATATTTTCAATCACAGACTTTGGCTGAAAAAGATAAACATTGCAATAGTAATCAGAAACTGCAGCTAAAATCTGTGTAAAGTTGGCAACTGGTGGTTGAAGAAACAATGGCAATAGCAGTATTGGGGTCTCAAACTCATGAGGAACTAATTGTTAGGAAATTTTCTTTCAAATTGGCTGAACTTGAATATCATTTTCATCTTTTGTCCTTTAAATCAACCTCAACAGTGGCTTGTTTACTCCCAAGATCAATGCTTCCATCTTGCTCACTCTCTACCTTGACTTTTCCTAGTCTCATCATGTGCAGCATCAATATCAGGAAGTCTGTGGATCTGTTTTGGTAACACTGCCATCATGCAAGTGTCATCACTTCATCTGTCTCTTCCTGAATTTTAGTCAAATAATCAGCTATGCAAGTAATTTCAGGAATATATAGCTTGTCTGTTAATAAAATGACGAACTACATTGCCATAAATGTTAAAAAATTAAAGATAAGGTTATTTATTCAAACCCAGAAAATATCATCATGAATTCCCCGAAATCCATTGGTTGTATTCATCCATCCTTATGATGAAGGAGCTTGAACTTGGGGAACCACCTCCGCCATATGCCTTCAGGTTCCCAGAACAGAAAACTCATTAATGTGTGTTAAACAGTCAAAAGGTAAGAGAAAAATGTATCCAAATGTGAAACAAGCAAGGCACACCTTTGCAACTTCAGAGGTATCAGTGGCACCATCAGTGCTACGCAAGCACATTTTGAGATTATTCCGCTGCATGAATATCACAGCACCTATAGGCCTGATTGATGATTAAATTCAGTTTATCATTCCATAGTTCTTTGATAACGTTAGAAAATTCCACACAAGGCAATGGCAAGCAATCATGGTTATAAGATAATAAGAAGCTGTTAAAAGAACATTTTTCACATTATTCATTTAACCCCTAAAGAACTTGAATCAAACGAGGATAATCAATATACAGTTTTGTACTCCAACAGTTAAAATCAGAAAAAGAATCAACAAATATTTGAAACCAACATAGTATCACATTGGATTTCTATAGTGCAATCAATTATAAAGCCTCAAATACTTATTTTCAAAGATAACAATATCCTATATATATATAGGATCTTATTATCTTTGAAAAAAAGCATTTGAGGCTTGACAAGTAATAAAGTAACTAGTGCTAACATCTCTGCATTCTCCTTCATGAAGCACCAAGCCAAGATCCTGCCTCTAGTTCAACGGAAAACAGGACTCAATGCGTTGTTACCCTTTTGGAGACCACTAAATGCACCATTCATTTAAGCGTGATGTACCATAGAAACATTAGAATCTCACAAGGTCACTTCACTATTTTAGGTTATTTTAATTTTCAGCGGCTAATTATGAGAAAAAATTGATTTTTTTTGTTGAATAATTCTTGAACTGAATTCATTGCTTGGACAAGTTTGACATTGCTGTCATTATCAATTGTTGCCATTGTTCTTCTGGCAAAAACTTCCAATTAATTCCAATCACCATGCTCATGAAAAATTCAACAGATTTATAATCAAGTAAATTTTTCTTTCTGAAACACAGGGAACATCATTTTACTAACAAGACAATGATATCAAATTAAACATAAATTTGATATACACTTCTTTCTAAATATATTGCCTCACCTAAGGCCAGTAGCAGCACTTTTTACACTAAGAAGCTTGCCAATTTCATCACTTAAGTTGGAGTTCCCATCTGCTCGAACTCCCTAAACAACCATGGCAACAAAATTTGATTATAAATTTGAATCAAAAGATTTGGCGTGGGGGCACCACATTACAGTTGCATGTTGCCACTAAAATCAATTACACCTGCAAGAATTAGTTATACACTGAGCATTTAGAAAAGCAGCAGAAGTTCATGTTACAAATTTGAATTTCATTCATAATTAAGTTAAATTTTAAAAACAACACAAAATAAAAGAAACAAAAATAATGGCATATTAATAACAACACAAACTGAGATGATTATATCCTGAAATATTACCAGGCACTCTCCATAAAATCCTCTACCCAAACGAACCCTGAAAACCTTTTCCAGCAATTTACTTGCAGCATTCTGGCGAGATGAAAGACATGAATTTCCTTTAGAAATTAGATCATCAGCACTCAATTCTAGCAACTGCAAAGAAGATATTTCAAAGGACAGAAAATATTCAGCAAAGACATAATGAAGATGATTTTTCCTTTTGGAATTTTACACAGCAAAACATAAAAATAAAAATAAAAATAGATGGTGATATGACCTGAAGAGTTGTAATATTAGTGTATGACACTATGGCAGTGTAGTAGAAGTTTCTGAATTTGTATTAGCCATTCTCACTTCAAACAACCACCTAACTTATCAAATTGTTCTTTTTCCCTTCGTAAACAGGAAACCAACAAATGACAAAACTGACTGGGAAAGATTGTAAGGCATGTCTACAAGCTCTCTATCTTACAGAATAAAAGTTATAGTTGCTATTGAAACAAATTCATTTTAAACAGAAAATTTTCTTCAGTTTTCCTGGTAGAGCTATTTGACTTGCTTTAAGTAAACTTTTGAGAAATAAGAAAATGCAGTGGATTCATAAATTTGTTTCTCAATCCATTCTTGATACGAATTAAAGTAAAATTCCAAATGTTCATTCAAGAAGAACAATAAGAAAATATAGAATCGATCTCAAGGGATGACCAGTCCATGCCTGCTTGTACATGTATGGATTTGAAATGCAGTTAAACCTCGACCGCCATTCACTCAGTCCAATATTAAAGGCCTTGATGCCGGGCAAGTTCCATCGGCGAAGATCTCCATCCTCAATATACTTAAGAATCAGCTCCACTCGACCTTTGTCTTTCGAGTCCACCAAACATGGAGCCGCACCCTGAAATTCAGGCATCTTTCAATTTCAGTCATTGTTAATGAGAAATAAAGCACGCAAGAATTTATACTCTTACTTACATAAGAAATATTAATATCCTCAAGTTTGCCAGCAAAGTACTCATAAACAACACTGGAGCTACTCTTCTCAAGGTTTACATTAATTGTAATATTCTCAGGGAAATCATTGGCAGGGGAAATATGTCTAAGTACTGATTTCCGATGATCAAACCCAATAACCCTAGATAGATAAAAATAATTAAATTAATACGCAAGCAAAACCAAACCACATATGTATAATACTAGCATAAAAACAAGACCAAGGGAAAATCAACCTACTTGCACTTTGATTTTCGGGAAAGGTTGAAAATGAATTCCTTTGAAGGAATAAAGTCAAGTAGATAACATGTCTGAAGGCCATCAATGCACAAATCTTCAACCCTGTTGTCACAAATATGTAAGCTTATGAAAAAGGAGTCACTCAAAAACCACAACTTTCCAGCACCCCATTTCAAATTTTCAACTCAAAGTCAAGTAAAGCACACAAATTAGAAGTTGTAATGCTCCACAAGAGCCCATTAGAAAAAGAAAGGAAATTTATGGAATAGAAGAAGAAGGGGTGGGAAGAGAACCTGAAAGCGAGAGGAGGAACAGAAGAGAAGGGCAGTATGAGGGAAGGGAGATTGAGGCGAGTGTGGAAGAGGTGAGCGAAGAGAGCGGAGAATGCTCCAGAAAAGGAAGGGTAATTGTAGAGAACTATGTTGGGAACTCTGTCATCTGAAGCTTTAGCTATGGCTTCCAACGCCGCGTCTGAACGCAGGCTTCTACTCCATCTCCCAACCCATAGAGGGAGACTCCTCTTCCCCCCAATTCTCAACCACCATTTCATTTCTAACATTCTTTGTTCGATCATTGGTTCGATTAATGTTGGTTTTAGGGGTGAACACCCAGCCAGGTCCGAGGATGATTTCGACTATGAAATTGATAATTTTCAAACAGTACAACTTAATATCTAATATGCGTAACTGTTTTCTACTTTTTTCTATTAGTAATATATAATATTTTTCTAAGTATAAATCTTATTAAATTATCGTGTGTTAATAACAAAAACTTATTTAGTTATTAACATTTTTATAATATTATATTTTAAAAAAAATTATTTATTTTAAAAATATATATTATAAAATATCTCTTAATTTAAGTTTTATATTTTTTAATTTACAACTTAACTATATATAATGTTAAAATGAATATATTTCATATATTTTTTTATTTTAATTAGATCAAAATTAAATATTATTTTTAAATCAAGTTTATTAGATTAATTTTATGTATATAATTTATTAAAAATATAGTTATTATTTAATATAAATAATATAATTATATATAATATAGTATTTTCTTAATTTTATAATTTATATGATATGATTTTTTTTATGGTTACTTATGATATACTCTTGAAGTTATTTCTACATGTTAATTCATTAATTTTGACCGACTGTATAATATAATTTTTTTAATGTATTATTAAATATTAATTTTGTTTTTAAAGACTAATAATATATTAAAATTAAATTATAAGTGTATAAATAAATATTTTTTTTAAAAAGTACAATATTATTAGTAAACTAAAAATAAGATGATTCAAATTTATAAAAAAAAAATATATGTAATTATCTTATTTATATAAAATAATAAATATTTTTATTATCTTAATATTTTTCATTTATTCATATGAACACTAAACTAATCAGCATGAAATAAAAAAACAATTAGAAAATGTCATGATATAAAACTCACGAGTTTTCTTACAAGTATTAAAACCAAATAAGAATATATTTGCGTGAACTTAAAATATATTATATTTTTTTATTCAACTAATTTTTTGATCGGATAAATTTTTCTAAACTAAAATTTGGTTTGATAAAGACTCTAAATATACATGATAAATTAAATAGAATTAACCCATTAATAGAGTGTAACATAGTTGAGAAATAATTTCTTACCTTAAATATGTGATTCGGATTCAATCATTAATTTATATATATGAAAATTATTTATTAGGAAATGTAAATTCCTTAAATAAATATCATTTTAATCCTTAGTATTTTTAGGAGATACCTTAATTCGTATATAAAAAAGATTAATTTAAAATTTTAATATAATATAATAATATTTAAAAAATAATATAATTATAAATATTATTGTTTTATATAAATATTAAACACTAAACCGAAATAATTTATCAATATATAATCATGAAAAAGAATATATTTTTAAAAAATATTTACTCAAAATTATCTTGAATTTATTTCCTATTTAATAAGATTCACCATGTTAAAATTAGCTGGCCCATGTCATGTTAACATCTGCAACTTTAACACTTGTTTTTTTCCCTCTTTGATTGAATCATTGGGCTTGCATTGAACTCTCTTAAGAACTGAGACCTCTTTACAGCCCCACTCTTTCTTTAAAATAGTAACCTCCCCACCGTTTGGAAATAACGAGCTCTGCCATCGTTTTGGAATAATTAATTATCGTGTACATTGTCATTGTTGTATGCCCATGCACCATGATATTTACGCAACGAATTTGGTGCCATTTGTTTCTTTAATATTGTCACCGAAGAACTTAGAAATTTTATTTTTAATAATTATTGTGGGCTACATATATTATTTATAGTATTTATATTAGTTATTTATATTTAGTTGGGTTCAATAAAAATGATCTAATTTTAGTGAGTCTTTAGACTGCCAATAAGAAAAAAATGTTATGGACCCAAATAAGTGGAAACCAGATTTGACCTGTTAGGGATTAATGGGAACCCTAATAAGTTTAAAATCGTAAAGATGGTCATGGTCCCTAATATGCCAAATTAGAAACACACGTCTCTTTGTCTCCCCATCAGAAGAGTAACATCAAATCTCGTTAAGAAATCCAGTGATTTGACCGAGAAAGATCATTGCACCAAAAGACTATTTCGCTGCAACCTTTTAATTATCAACGTCAATGGATACATGTACGTGTTATTAACGTTAACTCTGTAATCTGACACAACAGTTTTTAATATTAATTAATGGATAATTTCTATTTGGCTTAAAAAATTTATCCCAACACATAAGCCTCATTCCTGTCTTTGACAATTCAAGTGACAACAAAATAACACGAGTTTGCCTCTCTAGAAGGCAGTGGTTTGGCAAGTCTGAGGATTATGTAATTCCTCATCTCTTTTAAGTTGATGATAGTCTATTGGGGAATTTTTCCCCCTAACAATGCACTTATTTTTAATAATGATTAAAATTTATTAAATATTACATATTGTATATAAAATTCATTAAACAAAAAGTAAGATTCACTAACTTTTATACTTTTTAATTAAACATATAAAATTATAGGTGATATTAACTGGTTAAGAGACATGGTTATCCCTAAAAATATATTATTTGTTAGAAGTTGGGGGATAAGAGACATGTTGTGTCTCAATACATGTATTTTAAAAAATGTAAATAAAAATATAGATAATTAAAGATATATAATAATAAGTGATTTATAATCATAAAGTGAATGTTTTAAGATAGTTATAGGATACAATAGCTCTAAAAAAAATTATAGAGACCAAGTTACAACAAATTAGGATTTCCTTTATATATTAACTAGTAATGAGATACTTCATGCCTCTTAATATTTTTAAAAATTAAAAAATTAAAAAATAATTAAGAATATTATTAGTGGTTATTCATGAAATATAAGATTTTTTCTTTTAGGGATGTAATGATCTATTAAAAGTGAAGATAAAAAATAATTGCATGTTTTCATATTCCTTTTATGTATAGATTTAAATAATTTAGATTATATGTGAAAGCTCATCAAATTTGGAGTATGACTCAAATTGAATTTATACAAGATTGAAATAATATAAACCAGCCACAATAATATCTATATTGTTCATACATTGATGTACAGCATAAACTTATTGACTTATTGTCCGTTTCATGATTCATGAATCATGATGTACATTACAGATTTATAAATAATATCGATCGATCGATATCGAACCAGTTTTCACCAATGTAGCTGTAATCTAGACTAGTGCACACTTTAGCTTCTTACTTTATAACAAAAATAAGGATAAAAATCTATAGACTTACAGCATGTTTATAGTAAAGTTTAAATTTCGAGAATAATCCCTTCTTTTTTTAAAAGATTTTTTAATTTTTCAAAAAAAAAGCGATTTCTCCAAAATATATTACATCAGATGCACGTTAAACTATTTTTTATATCTTCAATTTGAGGGAATACCCCAGAATGATCGCTTCATCCGATGGTGCCCTGTGTTGAGGCTGAGACTGGCTTTGTTGCAGACTGTTAGGGTAAAGTTTATCATATCCATTGCTGATAGCATGTGAAGGATTCAGTGATTCTTTTTCTTCTGCACGCCTTGCTTCAACAACCTATATATGTTTCAACACTCTTTAACTTAGGTTTAGCTAAAATAAAATTTTGTCTTTAGGTATTTCATTATATTTTGCATGAATAATTTTTGGTTGGAAGTGTAAGGAACGAATTTATAAGTTATAACAATGAGAGGAGATGGAGAGAAAAATTGTTGTAATTAGAGAGGGAAAAAGATGATTTTAAGAGAAAAAATTCACTATGTCCTTATTTACAAATTATGAAGCTACTAGTACAAATGACACATTAATTTATGAAGCTATTGTTTTATGCTTCAGAAAATATAAAGGAAAAAAAAAGCTACATTCCAATTCTAATGTGTAACACATATTATTAAATTATAGAATACGTTTTCTTGATGATTTACCTTTTTTAGTTCTGCATTTTCTTTGTGGATAAGGTCTATCTTTTTAAGAAGTTCTTCCTTTTGTTGCTGAACGAGGCTTCCCTGCAATTAATGGCGTCAATGGAGATCGGTCAGAAATTCTTGGAAATACCTATTAAAGGAACAGAATCTGAGGCCTAGAACCTTTTGTTGTAATTCTTTGATCTCATCTATAAACATTTGATCCTGCAGGTGAAGTAAATGATTGTGTAAGAGTCATGCATGCATGGATGACACATGTATTGTATATTAGGATTTACCTATGTCCAAAACTACTTATAATCAAAATTTCATTGAAAGATCTTTTGAAAAAAGAAGATTCTTTTTACAACAAATAAATCAATTGAAACCAAACATGTACTTTAAGTAGGAGCTTCGATTTGCTTTGACTTTGAACCATATGATACCTTTCTTGTGCGAACATTCTTCAAACCCGTTTCCAATTGATCTTCCAGATGCTTCAGCTGATCAATATCCAAAGCAGAAAGTTCTTCACCCATCAGTTGGCTGCATTTGCCGAAAAGAAAGCATGGAATTCTTGCTCTTCTCAAATTTGTTTATTGCTGATACTTTATGTGATTGGAATGCAAATACAGCATTTTTTTTTGCTAATCCCAATATCATTATAAGGTTGTACTGAAAAGTGAGAGTAATTTTGAACCAACCCTATCTTTCTATTCTCCAAATTTTTGCTTAGACAATGCTTTGCTTCAGGAAGATTAGGAACTCGGAAAAGCCCTGCCCCCTTCCCATTATTACAAGAAGCATATCTATATAGAGACCATATACAGTGGGAATTGGTTTGCTTTGCTACCTTCAATCTTATATATCTTTCAGAGTGCGAGAGTCATGTAATTTTAATGGTGTTTTGTTGTTGCTGGTTCAGAAAATTATTAAGATTTCTTGAAATATTTTTTTTAGCATCGAGTGTAATTAAGAAATCGTCAAGGGAAATAGCTATAAACCTCCTTTGTAATAACTTTTTTTATTAACATAATTCACACTGTTTTTTAAAATTATCAATAAAAAATTAATGTGTTATTATTTTTGAAACTAACAATTATAGACTAATCTGCATTTGTTGGAAGTGGTTTTCTCTATAACAAATTTGAGTTTAATTAGCTTTGTTTGTTATGATACTGTATTTAAATATTGCATGTCTTTCCTTTGAATACATTTCTTCAATTTTATCTCTTAAACTCATCTTTTTATTCGAATATCATGGTGCTTATGACCTATTTACATTCTTGCGTTTTTCCCCCTTAATCAGTAAAAACCAATTTTATTAGCTTCAAAGAGTACAAGTTGTGCTGTACATATTGTTACATCAGAGTAAAACTGAGGTTTTATTTCACCCAACATTAATTAACTACCTAAATACCTAAAATAGCGGTACCCGAATGCACTCGATCGGTACAATGTTTTCCTCTTAAACTTGTTAAGTATCCATTCTTAAGTCTAATAACTTATTGTGGAGACTATAACATATTTACCACATCTTGATATGAATCTAGTGAAGTCAGATCCATATTCTAGTTGTTTGTCTTCTAGTCTCTAGAATGGTATTTGAATGTATTTATGGTTGTATATTTTTTGCTACTCTATACTTATCTGTTATATCATTTCATACTTGAACGTTTTATGCCCTTCTTTCTCTTTTAACTTGCCAAAAATTAAGAGTTCATACTTCCATGTAACTTGCTAGTTTCCATATTTCTGACTTGCTTCAATGACAAGTATTCAACTGTTGGGTACATTTAATTATCTTTTACCTGTGGCATTCTTGAAAATGCAGCAGTTGTTGCCTCAAGTTTGCTGCTTCTCTCTGCCATAACTATCATGTAGTAATACATATATCAGACTTGTATAACATAATTTTGTAAAGAAGTACATGATAGTGCACAGACTGCATAGGAGAAGAATATTAATTTTTGAACCTGTTAAAATTTCCCTAACCGTCAACGCCAGTCTTATAAGAGAATTTACAAAATACGAACCGAATAGCCACGCATCCTTGTGATAAAATGTCTATCTCTAGCTAGTTTACTTACAATTACTCTTAACCTATTGGTGTATCTAATAAATAAATTAAACTTTTAGCACAACATATTTTAACTATGTCTTATGTCTAATGTGAAAATAAACTTCGACTCCACTTATAGAATAAGAAGAAAAATCAGGAGGTAAAATGAATCATGATTCTATCAAAAACTAAAATCAACTTATGCATCTTAATTATTTTTTTAGAATCTTTCTCATCCATCTATTCCATAAGTTGAAATTGTGTATGAATCGAGTACAAATCATTTACTACCAAAGGTGCATTTAGATTATTAGTAGAAAAATGATATTTTACAATAGAAAATTATATCAGTTATGCAAAAACTAATGTAAAATAATGCATGATGACATTTTTTAAATTTATTTGAATTTTCTTATATGTTTTTTAATTGAACCAATGTAAATTAGTTTTTTTTTTAACAAATTTAACTAGTGTAAAAATTACTTTTTACATCAGTTATAAGTTTAACCGATATAAAAAATATTTTTTTACATTAGTCCAATATATACTTGATGTAAAAAGGTGATTTGAAAAATGTAAAATTTGAACTCAAGCTATCTTTTCCTTCCATTTTCAATGATACTCCAAGTTTGAGATATAGAGAATGGTCGTGAGTTCACTCAAAGGTAAGGATTCGTAGAGCTAGGTGGCCCCAATAATGTTTGAAAGGGGCTAGAGCGGCATTGGGAGGTAGGTTAGAAAGTTTTTGTTGCTCCGTAAATTTGAAGTTGGTAAGGGAGGGTGGCGCACAGGGGCTTGATGGGAGTTGGTGTTTATGCTCAACGAAAGTTTCAGTTTTGTGGGAGGGGGCGGGGGACAAATGCTTTAGTGGGGAGTGTTGTGGAGGGGGTGAACGGTGTTACAAGATTAGAATGAGTGGTTCTCTTAACTGCTCTTCGGTAACGTTGAAGATAGGTTGGCTATTTCCTCTTTTTCTTCTTTGCTCGGGTCTTACAGGTAATAAAAACAACTACACTATTCCTTCTCTTAAAACTACCAGCTTTGATTGTTTTACAATGTGGATTGTTTCTCAGGCATTGTGTGAACCCCTTGGTAACTAATCGAGCCTTATATCACATGATCAATTTGGATTTCATTTGATGTAGAACAACTATTTTCAAGCAAGAATGTTATGTTCTATTACTAATAACCAAGTGTCATTGCAAATCAATGCATCAAACTCTTCAAAAATGGTTTGTCTCCATTAGTGGTGTTGCATGGCTTGTCTTACATTGGCAGGTTCGAGATTCTCTAATAGAGGATGGTTAAAGGCTTGAAAAGCATGCTAGAGTGGGTTTTGAAACTTGGTTAATAACATTAGTTTTATAAATTAATGGATGTGAGGGATGAGAAACATTACTTGGTGATGAGACTAAACACAATGGGGGTCTTGGATGGTGTTTGTGTCTAGATTGATGGTTGCATTCGTGTTTATTCCACCCATATATGAGGCAAAATAGATAAAATGACATATGGAGTTTGACATCCATTAAGGTAAGGGGGAGTGAGAACCTCGTTCGAGGTGCGAGTTATCTGCAAGATAGTGGAATTGGCTTCCAATTTCGTTTGTTTGTGTGTGATGCATGAGGGGGTAAACCTATAATTCTGATTGTGACTATAAATTTATGGTATATGTGAATTCTTTCATGTTCTGATTATGATATTATATTATAATTGCGTTCCTGATCTATGAGATTGTCTTAATTGTGAATTTATGAGTACCTATGGGTTCCCAAGAGAACCCTAAAGATTAATAATACAAAGCAAATTATTAGATAAACAAATTTGAATAGGAAACCTATTGGTTAGAGTGAAATAACTTTGTTGTAGATCCTCCTAATATCACATAATTTCATAGAGCCACATTTGTAGGTTGTATTATTCGTAATGCGTACATTATGCAAAAAATAACCCTTAATGATACTACGTTGAGCACCACATGGGTCATTGGGCACGAAGCGATAAAAGGCTCTCTATGATGATCACGCTTAACATAAGATGGACCACGTCGAGTGAGAGCCATAGAGTGCTCATGATGGTGTTAACGTCAAACACTAGACGTGGGAGCTCGAAAGGCTCCTTGTTGTGAAATTCACCAAGCACATGAAGGGTTACGTCAGGCGTGATTCTCCTAGAGAGCATAAAGTACTCTCGACTTCGACCGTGCCGGGCACATGGCACCCCATGACGAGCATTGTCTTATGCCTACAACTCAATTGCATGTAACTGGTAGACGAACGTTAATAGCTTTTAGATAAGTGAACCATATGAACTAGTTGATTATGATAAGTGAAATATGTATGCTTAAGAATGTAATGTGGAAAATTGATAATATAAGAACATATGTGTTGCTCATGTGAATCCTTGAAATTTTGAAATATATGCTATGTGACAAATGTGAGAGTAGTCATGTGACTAAGTCTAAGTCTAACTTAGCAATGTTAAAGTCTAGGTGAATTACCTAGTAAAGATGTGATTATTGTGAACATAATTTATATGAACATGCAATGAGTCTTGTATGACATGCATTATGTGCACAATGTATTTTGTGATATATATGATGTGAAATACGTTTTCAGGGAAGGTCCTCCTTATGTAAAGGCTTGAGAATTCATGACCTTGGGGACAACTTGGTTTGGGAGCCTAGTCTCACCCGCTTATGTGCATGGCGGTGAAACTTGTGCAACACAGTTGTCCTGATGTATCACTGATGTATCTTCTCTTAATGTAGAGTGCCAAGAGGGCTATGACCTGACATGACCTCCTAGACTACTCATGCTTTCGGGTCAGGATATGTGATTTTTTGACGTCACATGCATATAGATTAAGGAGTCTTGTCCAATGTATGATCATAGCGTCTTAATTACTTGTGAATTATGATTGTGATGGATGTTGATATATATTATACGAACATTATTGTATCTTCTTATATATGCACGTCATTGTTTGTACCTTGGTTAATTGAGAATTATGAATCTATAAACTGCGAGATAAATTACTATTATATGATTATTGTTGCATGTATGACTAATCAGTAATAGCTTGCACTGGTAGTCAGAATGAGATGTTTCTCACTCCTCTTTCTTTTGTGGATGGTTTTGGTGTATGAATGTAGGTGGATTGAATTATGATAATGTTGGAGGAGAGATTTAAACTTATGTTGTGAAAGCTCTAATAGAATGTGACACCGAGACATAGTTAGGGAATTGTTTTCTATTAGTATTTGAATTATTGATCTAGACTTATTTAGTTGGAATTGTTTAATACCAAGTTTGAATTCCTTGTAATCGCTTCTTGATTTAGTTTTGTTTAATGTTGAGTTTCATGCAATGTGATACTTCTTATTCAGAAAATTCTTGTTATATTATTGTTATAATGTATGTGGGATAGAGGGTGTCACACCAAACATTGATAAGCAACTTGTGAATGAGAGTAGTTGACAAATATTCATGTAGTTGATCTTGATCAGAGATTGTTGCTATTGTATGGATGCAACAAAGGAAAGCTTAGGCATTGACCTTGAAGAGTTTTGTTCAATTTCCATGGTGGTTTCTGGTCATGTGGAATAGTTAAATATTGTTAAAAAAACTAACAATAATGGATAATCAACAAAAAAAAGTTGTTGAAGAAGATGGTCACTAGAAATGGAAGCTTATTTTGTGTCTAGTATAGTGCAGTTGTTGTCTAGTGTGGTGCAGTTTGGTATAGGTGCATGTGCATGCAGTTATGTGGTTTGGTGAAATAAGTTTGAATTGGTCTTTGTGTGCAGAAGAACTCACGAAGAAAAAGATACTAAAGAATGTTGTGTGGCGATTGGGTTTAATCCCTAATAGGTTAGTTACTTTAAAATTTAGGTTTAGGCTTAGTCATTCGACCCAACCCATTTTTTTTTGTCTTTCATAACTTGAATAGGCTAGTGTTAAGTCTCATTTATACGTATGTTTAGATAGGAATTATTGAACAATTCTACTCACCCCATGCACTCTTACAATACAATTGTTCTTTTTTTGATTCATTTTTTTGTGCAGATATAGTTAACCCAAAATTTAGCTAACAATACCTTGATACACCTCATTTTTGTGCATGTATTAAGTGAAGAGTTGAAAGTTGAAGACCCATTGGATTGGAAATTAAAGGAGTTAAGGAGTAGGAGAAGATTACCTGCGTCGGGCACAAGACTACCTGTGCCGGGCTTGAGCAAAATAGAGAGCCACACTCTCTGCAATTCATAACTACGTCGGGCACAAGAAGATGCGCCGGGCGTGCTCGAGACAGAAAGCAACTCAAACTCTCAGGAGGACATCGCGCCTGACTTAAAAGTAATTGTGTCGGGCGTGTTTTGAGACAGAGAGTAAATAAACTCTCTGGAAGGCCCTATGCCGGGCGCAAAACATAATGCACCGGGTGTGGTAACCATAATCTGACTCACCCAGCTTGTATTTGATCAAGACTTCGAGGATTTCTCCCTCATTCACACATTGGGCGACTTCTAGGAGCTGAGGAAGGGATTTCTGGTGCTTGGGACTGTTCGTGTGTGGGTCTTTCCTTTGGTTCTTCCATCTCTATTTTTGTTTTACCCTCATTGTTTTGAGCGGTTCTATCCATTATTTTGTGGGGTTAGATGTAACCAACGATACTCTTATGTAATCTTTACGTTTTTTTATGATATCTATATATATATATGTTGTTTCATTCATTATTGTGTTATGTTTCTATTCTTAATGCTTGCTTTGGATTGATCCTCCTTTGCTTGATATAGAGTCCATTGGGTA